ACTCCCCCCCCCCCTTTACACAATGACAGAAATTCCCCCCAATACTGCAGCTACTATTGTGTGGGAGCGCCATTTCCTAGAAATGATTGTGAGGGGATGTCCCTGGTGCTAGTCTTGCATGCTTAACTCTCATCTTCCAGCTATTGGTGGCTTCTGATACCTGGACTCAGTGGTGTCTTTGCCCAGGGATAAGTGATTCCCTCCTGGAAGTAACCTAAAGCCTCCCTTCTTTTCTCTTTTTACAGGAATACACTTGTCCCAGATGTGAATCTGGATTTATTGAAGAAGTGACAGAAGATTCCAGGTATCTTCATCCTCATATTTTGGTAGATCTCACATATATGTGTAGGACAGCTCCTGTTTCCCAAGTCCTGGGTTAAAACCGGAGTCCTGATCTCGAAATAAGAAACATAATTTCTTTTAGCTTGCATAAATCCATGTCAGGCCTCGACAAATCTTCTTTGGCTTTAGGAGCCAGGCCCAAGGGTCTGCATTTTAATCACCATATTTTCTAGTCCTTGCTGCTACAAAACCTAATCTCTTCACAGTTTCTTGTAATTTTATTAAATCCGTAACAAGGGTTGAGTATATAAATAAACACGGGGTAACCCTGGATGTCGTCATCACCGCAGTGTAAAGCTGACTTTAACTTAATCCCCACCCCAGCCCTATTTGTCATTGTTTTATTATTGCTTTAATGTGAAAAACCTCTGCCTGAGACCCTGGAGAGCTGCTGCCAGTTAGAACAGAGGGTGCCGACCTTGGTAGACCAAGGGTCTGACTCAGCATAAAGCAGCGTTGTATGTGCAGTGTCCTAGGATGTCAGAGAAGGGTCATATCGCAGCGGCACAGTGCCTGTTTTGCACGCAGAAGGCCCCAGGATCAGTCCCTGGCACCTCTCATTTAAAGGATGGCATAGTAGTCCTGCCACTGGAGCAGACAACACTGAGCTAGACGGGCCAGTGGACTGACTTGGCATGAACCAGTCTCATAGGCCTATTTGTTTATTTATTAAACTTATATCCCACCCTATCCCACAAAGTGGGTCCAGGGCGGATTACATGTTGTTGTTGTTCAGTCGCACAGTCGAGTCCGACTCTTCGCGACCCCATGGACCAGCTCCCGCCAGGCCCTCCTGTCTTCCGCCGTCCTCTGAAGTTGGCTCAATTTCATGTTCGTTGCATCGATGACACTGTCTAACCATCTCATCCTTTGCCGTCCCCGTCTTCTTTGACCTTCAATCTTTCCCAGCATCAGGGTCTTCTCCAGGGAGTGCTCCCTTCTCATTTGGTGGCCAAAGTATTTGAGCTTCAGTTTCATTATCTGGCCTTCCAGGGAACAGTCAGGGTTGATTTCTTTTAGGATTGACTGATTTGATCTTCTTGCAGTAAAAGTCAGTATAAAGACAATTACTCAATTACCTGATCAGAACAAATAGGACAATTTAAAAGCAGGTGGCACTGAAACTAACAGTCCACACCTCCAGTAATTTAAAGAACAACAACAGATGGTTAGTAGTACCCTAGTATACGGCAGTGCCCCATCGGTAATAAGCAATATCTGGGGGCACTGGGTGGGTACCATGGGCAGGGGAGACCAAGATGGTTTAATGCCCCCCGCCTCCACAGAAGTCCTGGTGGAAGAGCTCTGTCTTACAGGCCCTGTGGAACTGTAGTAGGTCCCGCAGGGCCCTGATCTCAAGTGGGAGCACGTTCCACCTAGAGAGCCTCAAAAGAATTTTCAAGTGAAGCAGGGGAATGTGACTTATTCTAAATTTCAGTTCTGTGATGTATGAACTGTGATCAGGTTATTTCCTCCAGTGTCTTGTAAATGAATGTTTTAAAAGTACACGCGGCTCTCATTAATTCATATTTACTTGTTGCCTGGGGAGCTTCGCTATTTGCATGTGTTCACTTAGCAATAGGATTTTCATTTCTCTTTATTTTCCTGTTTTCATTAATATAGCTGTCTAGGGGCTTTTATTCTTCCCCCGTCCCTCCAAGGTCTGGGACACCCCCCCCCACACACACACTCACTCCTTGCCTGTTTTTTTTCTCTATCCAGGTCAGAAATGGGAAATTATGCAACCCAAGAACCTAGCTGTTTTTCCATGCCTGAGTAGCTGAGAGCATGCATGCTAGATTTAAAAACACACGTAGACACACTTGCATACTCAAGTGTCTTCTTTAGATCACTGCCACATTTGGAGATGGTCCTTGAGAAGCTCTGACTCAGTGTCATGTTCTGGGATGGAAAAATAGCTGGGCTTCGAATCTCTCCAGCCCGACCATCTAGTTGCTTTGGAATTTGGAAGTGCTTGCTCAGCCCCGGGCAGAGTTGAGCTGATGGTGCACGTGGGAAGCATGCAGTTCTTTCCCCCTTTCCTAGTTACATGAATGTCAGAGGAGCCCTGCTGGATTGGACCAAGGATCTGCCAACTTCACAATCCTGTCTCCAGCGTCAGCCAGACACTCCCTTAGGCAGCCCACAAAGATGGAAGGCATGGAGGCCACAGCCCTCCTTAGTTGGTTGTTCCCCAGCAGCCAGAGTTCAACAAGAGGCCATCTTCAAGCATGGGAATTCCCTTTAGCTGTCGTAGCCAATAAGACCCCAGCATACCTTGCTGAACTGGGACATATCTGGCCCAGCATGATGGGATTGGATCCTATATCTTGCTTTGTTTGCACCATAGAGTTTTTGGCCGAACGCTAGAGAGTCCCCCCCCCACGACATACCCGGTGCAATTGCCCCATGGAGCTCTTTGGGGGTGGGGCTCCCCTGCTGGACAGCTGGCTGGCAGGCGGATCAGGGCCCCCGAAATTGGGGTAACCTCCACCCCCATCAGGAGGATGGCAACCCTAAACGGTGGTTACCCTGAGACCTCCCAAGACCCCAACAAATGGATGAAGGCAATGGGTCCTTCCCCTTTCGTGTGTTTTCCCCATAACTAAAAGTTGCGTGTTTTCTCTGCAAGAAAGAGTCTTTCTTACGTCTAGTTCTTGGTTAAACCATCTTTGCTGCGTGTCTAGTTCTTGGTTAAAGCCCGACTTGTGGCCATTCCTAGCTATTCTAGCAGTGAATTCTGTACGTTTCCTGTGTATAAGAATAGTGGTAGTTGTGTTTTACAAAGACTTTAAAACAGCATAACATTTTGCTTCAAAAAGTTTCATTCTTCAAAGCACTTCAGGCCCATAATCTTCTTCTGAGCTGCCCCCTGTTGTGAGATGTGTGGGTATTGCCCAAGAAGAGGCATTCCTCCTCTCAGGCAGGAGGGGCTGCTCCTTCTAAGATGGTGCTTGCTGCAATGCACAGATGAATAATCACATAATACGTAGAGGTTGATTTTTCTCCTGCAGTACTGTTTTTGTATTCATGTGCGTATTTATGTAGACCTAATCAGACAAACTGGGCTCAGTGGTTAAGATGCTGAACCTACTGGAAGGTCGGTAGTTCAGCAGTTCGAGACCCGAGTGCCGCATGACGGCGTGAGCTCCCGTCTCTGGTCCCAGCTCCTGCCAGCCTAGCAGTTCGAAAGCAAGAAAGTGCCAGTAGATAAATAGGTATCGCTTCAGTGGGAAGGTAACAGCGTTCCATGCGCCTCGGCATCTAGTCATGCCAGCCACGTGACCATGGAAACGTCTTCGGACAGCGCTGGCTTTTTGGCTTGGAAACAGAGATGAGCACCGCATCCTAGAGTCGGATTTGACTGGCTTTCGAGCAAAGGAAACCTTTACCTTTAATCAGACAAACTAATACAACTAGCCAGCTATGATTTCTTTAGTGGAGCAATAAATAGCCTTAATGTGTGTGTGCGTGCGCGTGTAGGTATAGATAAAAATTGTACAACTATTCTTTTACCCAATGAGTTTGTGGGCCACTCCCACGATCTCCCTGCCATTCTTAGCGTCCTGGTCCCTGCTTCTTCCTGTACTGAGGCTGCTGTTCTCAGGCCCTTTGGACTATGTTTAGCCCCTCTCCCCACCCCCTGGGAGGCGGGTTGGAGTGTTATATTTCTGAGAGCACTGATCTTCTCCCTCATCTGTTTTTTTTATCCTCAGTCTTCTAGAAGGAGGTGGAGGTGGAATAGACGACAGCCCATCTTCCCAGTTTGCAGACGTGAGATTTTATTTTATATTCCATAAATTGTTTGCCAGGAAAACATGCATAGGAATTAAGGGAGATGGGTGGTGGTGGGGGGTTAAGTCTTCTGTTTGGGCCATGCTGCTCCCTCCCACTGCTACACTTTTCCTCCGGATACTGAATATATAACAGTAGTTTGAGTAGAGGGAACTGGGCTTGGTAGGGAGAGACTGGGCTTGAAGGGAGATAAAGTGGAAGAAGAGTTGGGAAGGAGAAAGATGGGGGACCCTTTGAAGCAAATGGAAATTTTGCTTTCTGAGGAAAGCACTCTGTGAATCTGGGGGCCGAGGGGAGGACTTTTTTCAAGAGCAAGCTGAGCCAGAGAGCTGAACATTCAAGAAATGGAGTCCGTTTCGGGTAGGTCACTGTCGCTGGAAAGCAAGCATGGCATTTAAATGGAGGGGGTATAACAAACTGAAGAAGATTTTGTTTCAAGATACAGTCTAGGGTTAGTAAGAAAAATACAAATGAACCAAGTAGCCCCAGATCCCAGTATCTATTTTTAATATCTATTTGAAAGGGACTCTTCCAAGGGACAAAAACTCTTTTATTTTATAGGTTAGTGGAAGATAAAACTAGTAGATGCTGTGTATTGGAAAAACAGGCAACTGCATTGCTGAAAGAAGGGGTTGATAAAACTCCGAGGCCCAAGCCAGATTGAGCAGCATAACTAGAGAGCTGACAGATGTTTGGAGAAACGGTTTCAACTGAGCCTCCTCAAGTCTGAGGCGATATGGAAGGGTATAAATATTTTAAATAAATTTCTGGATTATTGGAATTTTGATTTAAGGGAAGCAATTATATTTGTTAAAGAGTGGAACGTATGTTAACTTTTCCTTCTTGTCTTCAAATCTTTCCTAATGTTGCTCCTTTTATTTACGGAGCTTTGTGTAAGTTTAGTTCCACATTAAAGTTATATTGATCTATTTTAAAGGGAGGTGGGTACACTTTAGGGCTGTGGTTAAAGCGCTGTTGGGCAAGCCTGGGTCAGTTTTGCTGTAGATTGCAGCCTCTGGTTGCCAGGAATTAATTGTGCCGGACCCCAGAACATGCTGGAGAACTTGGGTCCCTAAAGGCACGACCAGCAAGGCTAAATATAGCCTGAGGCCCAAACCATTGTATATTTAGATCAGTGACCTCTGAGGCAGCCCCCCCCCCCCTTCCCACCTGCCTGTGCTTAAGCAGGCCGCCTTCCCTGACTGGTTCAGCTGCCGGACTGACACCCACACACCACCCTGATCTTACTCAGCATGAGGAGCTCAAACTTCTTTGAGTTACCTCAGTATCATACGCTCCAGCTGTCCCTGTCGGCCAGGAACCCTTTTTGCTTCTGGAATCAACCTCTGGTAAATCGCTGTCCCTGTCTTTTGCTTGTTAAATTGCTTTCTTGTACTTGTCCTGGATTTAGTTCCCACCCCACCGTTTCTGGAAGTTAAATTTGTAAATGTGAGGCGGGCAGGCCAGTGGGTGCATCTTCTCTCTAGCACCTGTGTGTTGTCAGTGCCCCATGTGTAACTGCCAAGGCACCGTACAGCACACCACCAGTGCTCCCTCTAAGCTGTGGAGTCTCGCGAGCAAAAATTCTACTTTGTGAGCTACCGGCATTAAAGTTGTGAGCAAGCAATTTGGCTACTTCGTAAATCAGTTGGGGAGCCGTCCTTCCTGAGCTAAGACAAAAATGTGTGAGCTGGAGGCTAAAGAACTGTGAGCTAGCTCACACTAACTCAGCTTAGAGGGAACACTGCTACCTGCCATTTCACAGCTCGTTGCTGCTGAGATGTGTTTTGAACAGTTGTTAGTGGACTATAGAACAAATATGTGTTTCTGATACACCTTTGGCACCTTCTCATAATATGGCCAAGCGCAATATCTCAGTAGGGTTATTTTAGCTTCCAGGGAGAGTTTGGGCTTGATTGATCTAGAACCCACTTATTTGTCTTTTTGGCAGTCCATGCTATCCGTAAAACTCTCCCCCAACAGCACATTTCAGATGAGTCAACTTTCTTCCTGTCAGTTTTCTTTGTTGTCTGGCGTTCAAACCCATCCATGGTAATACTGTGGCATGAATTATTTTGATCTTGATTGCTGGCGATACACCCTTACACTGAAGGATCTTTTCTAGCTCCTTCATGGCTGCCCTTCCCAGTCTCAGCTTCCTTCTGGTTTCTTGGTTGCAGTTGCTCTTTTAGTTGATGATGGAGCCAAAGAATAGAAAACTTTTAATGATTTTAATTTCTTCCTCATCGGCCTTAAAGTTGTGTAATTCCCCAGCGTGCCTAGTTCATGTGAATGGCCGTCCCTTGGGTTGTGGTGGAAACTGTCCTGCCCTCCTCAGACCGACCCAGTCAGGTCTTGTCAGGAACAGTGCCCCAGGTCTAGGTAGTGAGGCTTGAGAGCGTCAGCAGGGGCTGGACATAGACAGGCTTGTGCCTAGTGGACCAGTCATCCAGCAAGGCAGCTTCCCAGGCCTCAGCCTAAATAGGGGCCTAGATAGGCTGGGAGGTAATCAGGCTTAGCTGCGCTGCTGACAGGTGCTGAGTTCCTGTTTCCTTCTGGTTTCTTGGTTGCAGTTGCTCTTTTAGTTGATGATGGAGCCAAAGAATAGAAAACTTTTAATGATTTTAATTTCTTCCTCACCATCCTTAAAGTTGTGTAATTCCCCAGCGTGCCTAGTTCATGTGAATGGCTGTCCCTTGGGTTGTGGTGGAAACTGTCCTGCCCTCCTCAGACCGACCCAGTCAGGTCTTGTCAGGAACAGTGCCCCAGGTCTAGGTAGTGAGGCTTGAGAGCGTCAGCAGGGGCTGGACATAGACAGGCTTGTGCCTAGGGGACCAGTCATCCCGCAAGGAGGGGCCTAGATAGGCTGGGAGGTAATCAGGCTTAGCCGCGCTGCTGACAGGTGCTGAGTTCCTGTGGCTGGGCTGTGCTGGGGCCAGGAGGATCCTGCAAATAAGTATCAGCCTCACTGCTTGTCCTGGCAGTTCACTTTTTTGAGCCACTTTAGTCCGGACCTTCTGTCTGCACTGTTCCTGCAGAGAGGGAGACAGATCCAGGTTTGAGACCCGTACAGTAGAGGCATGGTGGCTATTTCAGGGGCCCATGGTGAGGTTTCACATGCATGTTTCCACTGGGTGGCTTCTGGCACATTGTGGGCTGGTGCCTCTGCTGTGTCAAGCCCTTCTTCTTGCCCCACTGGTCCTCCTCAGCCAATGGCCTTGGTTCTTCAGGCTCTTCCTCTGTGGACTCTGAGTCCAAGTCGCTGTGCTTCTTGGAGGGGGTCACACGACGGAAACAGGGGTGAATTTAAAGTGGATGAATTTGGTGTGGGGAAGGGTTGCGATTGAAAGAAAATTTGAGTCCAGATTTGGTTACTATAACACACTTTACAAAGGGCTGGCCCTGAAGACGGTTTACGGTGTAATCTAAGCTGAGGTACCCCCTCCTTTAGGTCCATTGAAGTCACTGGGCTAAGAAGGGTGTAACTGCAGAGGATTGAAAAGTGAGGAACGTTAGCTGGCGCAAAATGCAGTTGCTGTAGTCCTCGTCGAGACATAGAATCATAGAGTTGGAAGGGACCTCCAGGGTTATCTAGTCCAACCCCCTGCACAATGCAGGAAATTCACCAATACCTCCCCTGCCCACACCCCCAGTGACCCCTGTTTAATGCCCAGAAGATGACAAAAAACCTTCCAGGATCCCTGGCCAAACTGGCCTGGAGAAAAATTGCTTCCTGACCCCAAAGTGGCGATCAGCATTTCCCTGGGCACGTAAGAAAGGACCATGAGGACTAAGCACTGATGCGGCCCTTGCTGCCCTCCCTCTCGTGATCGGCCCAAGTTCGCAGAATCAGCATTTCTATTAGATGGCCCTCTAGTTTCTGTTTGGAAACCTCCACAGGAGAGAACATGACAGAACGAGTCTCTCAGTGCTTTGCCAACTCCCCTGACTCAGTCTGTTCCGAAGCCCAATTCAAGGCGCTGTCTCTAATTTTCAGAGCTCCAAATGGCTTGGGCCCAAGGTACCTGAAAGACCCCTTTCCCATATCAACCTGTTCAAGCGTCGAAATTGATGCAGGGATCCCCCTTGCAAGAACCCTTTTTTATTTCAAGCTAAGTAGCCAGGGACCCACAGAAGGGCCTTTCAGCTACTGACCCCAGGAACTCTCCCTCCCCACCAGTGTTCCCTCTAAGCTGAGTCAGTGTGAGCTAGCTCACAGCTTTTTCGCCTCCAGCTCACAGATTTTTTGTCTCAGCTCAGGCAGGATGGCTCCAGAGCAGACTAATTTATGCAGCAACCAAATCGCTCGCTCACAGCTTTAATGCCAGTAGCTCACAAAGAAGAATTCTTGCTCACAAGACTCCACATCTTAGAGGGAACATTGCTCCCCACCCCAGGTCACTTTATAATGTATTGGCTGTCCCCCCCGTTCCTCTTGGCTGTGTGTTCTGTTTCCCTTCCATAGACATGTTGCTTTTACTGCTCCTATTTTTACTTGGCTGCTCTTATAGAGCTTGGATTGGTTTGGGAGGTTTTCAGTGTCCTGGGCTGGATCTTGCAGATCCACTGTGCTAGCAAACACCAACTTCCCCTGGGTCCCAGGAACCTTCCCCCAATGCAAGGCTCTTGCACTGGGGAAGGCTGCTTTTCCCGGGGGGGGGGGGTGTAGGGGAGGGAGAGGCCGGCCACCCCAATTAGTGGAACAGGTCCACCCCCATTTAAATTGTATTTAACATTGTTTTTATATGTGATTCCGCCTCTTTGTGAACTGCCTCGGGTGTCTTTAACTGGGCAGAAAGGCAGGAATAAAAAGCGAGGGAAGTGCCCCCGGCCTCAAGAATTTTAGCTTTTCTTTTTCCAATACACATCTCAGTTGGTTTAAAAACTGATTGAACTGTGGCTTTCTGTGGCCTTTTAGAATAATTGCTGTTGGGTTTACATGTCAGCCGCCTTGAATCCTGCAACGGAGAAAGGCAGCT